GGTCAAAAGGCAAAAAGAACTTGCATTTACTTGCATTAGCTTTGTGTACATCTCCACTGACTTGGTTTCTTCTTAGATAGTATTCAACTTTTTCAAATGCTTTTCTTACTGCCCTCCAGGATCAGAAGGCGTGTGCAAGGACAGCTGCATTTTTGCGCAGTTAGTCTCAGAATTTGCACATAGTATGTGTTCAATCAATGTTTCAACATCAGGAAAGCTGACTATCCAGAGAGCATCTTAGCTAGAGTACCACTCTCCCACCTAGAGTACCACCATGGCTCACTTTCCTGGCCCCTCCTTGACCATCTAGGGCCCAGAGCAGCAGGAGTGGTTAGGAGTACAGAAAGCCAAAGAGCAAACAGAAGCATGAGATGGGGGAGGAAAGAGACTTCCCTCTCCCAGGACCCAGTCAAACAATCGTCCCTATGCTCAGTTCCAATGGTGTGACCTGGCAGACCAGCTCTCATAGAGGAATAAAAACTGGCTCCTACTCACCTCTCTGCTACCACCCTCCCCCTTCCGACTGCCTCTTCTCCATCCCAATAAGGCTGCTGTCAGATACTCCAGGCCTGACAAATTGAACCCGGAGGATGCAAAAAGGAACTAAAAACCTGCAGCAGAGATGTCCAGGATGTCCGGCCACACTCTTAAGCCAGCACAAGAAGCGTCTTGAATATAAATAAGTACCTTTAAATAGGTCACCATGCTTTCCTTTCTCTTCACAAGTTCATGGATTTTGTCTGATAAAAGACTGCATCACATCAGCTGTCTCCCTGGGTTGTGCTCAGCTGGTCTTGAGGCAGCAAACGGAACCAGAGGCAACCAGCAGAGCCAAGTGAGACTCCTCTCCTCTGGGGCATACATGGGCCATGGCCAGCCGTCAGCCACTGGTAGAACCGTAACGAGTGACAGTGGCATTGAAGGCCATGACTGCCCACTGGAAAACCCTCCACCACTGACTCCATTCTGGATTTTCCAGGCAAAAGGCAGCGCCCAGGTAAGCCACATCTGTGGGAGAAGCCACACTGCGGACCAGGATTCTTAAGTATCTCTTCTTTATAAACTTGGCCAGTCAGAAAACATCCAAAACCAGGCATGTGGATTCCCCTTCTGCTCTGTGTGTGGAGTCCAGAGGGGGAAGGAAGGAGGGATCAGAACCTGCATGACCACATCTGAGCCTCTATCAGCGAGTTTGTGTTAAGTGGTTTGTGGACATAACTTGGTGTTATCAATTGCATGAGGCCGATAACTTCTATCCCCTCTCACATTTGACAAAAGAAAAAAAAGTCATATGGTTTGAGGCCAACTGTACAAAGTCACGTAGGCAATGGCAGAGCCAAAAACCAAACCCAGGCTGTTTAGCGTCAGGGCTCTTAACCAACCAGAATGGCATCGGGTCACTTGGCATCACCTAAAGGCAGACTTTCAACCAGACCTTTTAACCAGCACTTCATTTCCTCTGTTCCCCATCACCTCACCCGCTCCCCATCTCCACAGGACCTCTCTTCCCAGTGAAGGAACCCATCCTCAAAAGCCTCCAGTAAACCAATTCCATCCCCTTCCAGCTTTATCCTGCCTGACACACCCCCTTCCACTGCTGCACTGTTGCTATAGAAACTACCCAGCCTTATCAGGCAGTGGCTGGGGCAGGGCACCAGGGAATTGTCATTTGCATTTTATCTTGGCCTCGGGCACTCAGAAAGCAAGGTCACCAACCAGAGGCAACTTGGCACCTCCACCCAGAAGTCAAGACAATAGACCTAAAAGCAATATCCTGGGGAGCTGCAGAGAGGGACATTTTTGAGAAGTTATGCCTTAATTACTACCTCCCAGGGAAAGGGAGCTTTTCCAGGCAGCAGTATATAATCCACTGCTTCTTTGCCTGTGTGCCTCTGATGGAACAGAGCCCTGGAATGAGAAGCTGGAGACCTGGACTCCATTCTGCTCCATACGTGATGGTCTGTGCTTGCCTTGGCTTTGAACCTGAATGCAGCCATACATAATTTCTTTATCTGTCAAGTGGGGAGATTCCTGAGGCTAAAACAGAAATGAAAAAGAAAAGAAAAAAAAAAAACCTACAGACACTTTGGTAGAAATGGACTTGTCTAAGAAAAAAAAAAATTATCATTGCTTTGCCGTTTACCCTTTGAGGTTGCCCCTGTGCTCACTGCACCCTCACAATCCAACTCAGATTCCTCCAGCTGGAAGGTCCCCCTCTCCTCACTCCTATCAAAATGGACATGCTGAGCAAACTCCTCTTGCCTCATCTCCACCCCCACCTCCCCAAATTACTAAGACCTTCCTGGGCTCAGCGCCCTCCCCTCCCCAGCCTCCTGGCTCCATGAGCTCAGTTCCTTGAATGAACACAGGCTGACACACCTACACCCGTCCACTAATTAGAAACCTCCCCAGGCTCTTCTCCGGCCAACTTAACCAGGGCCTGTGGGCCAGCTCTCCTGGCCCCAGCTGGAGGCCTGCCAGCCCCCCCTCCCCAATCTCTCTCCTGCTCCCTCCCAACAGCCAGGAAGAGATGTGGGGCTGGCGGCCAGAGGGGCCTGAAAGACGCCAAAAGTCCCCCTCCCCCTACAAAAAAAAGCAAAGAGAAACCATTCCGGACTACAGTCCACTCTGTACTTCTTTCCGGGGGAGCAGCTTTCTAAGCAAGGTTTCCCTGCGTCCTGACTGGCACCAGGAGCCCAGCCAGGCTTTGTTCAGGAACAGGCCTGGGCTGATGGTTAGGAGCCAAGTGGGGGAGAGGCCTAGGGGGAAGTCCGTGGAAAAACGTGTCCTATAGTCCGTACACTCTGCTCATTGGGGAGGGGAGTGGGGGGAGGGCAGTTACTCTGGAACCTGAAAGCAAAGACATTTCTCTGGATGGACTACCCACCTGTAAAGTGGACCCAGAGTCTAAGGGGACCGGCCACCCCCGATTCCCAGCCGCAATGCTGTGCTTTGTCCCCGCTGTGCTGGGCCTCCCCACGAGCACACGCTGGCCCATGAAGGCTCAGCATCCATCTCCTCTGCTTCCTGAGGCCTCACCTCCATCAATGCCTGAGAACAAACAGTCATCACTGTTCCCAGACAGGCTACCCCTCCCAGGGCTCCCCGGGACCACAGATGCAGCAAACATTAGGACAAACTCCAGCATCCCAAAAGCACTCCTGCTCTCGACAGCCCCGCTGAGACCATTTACCACCCCCAACAACCCCCCTTAACCCCCCCTCCCCCAAAAGTGAGGTAAACTCTGGAGGCTCCTAGTAAGAAAACGTCACTTTTTTGGAGGGAACATCCAGTTTCTTTGCCAGGATCACGTTCAACTTTCCGGCACCCTTGGCTCAGTCAGGATGGACCAGAAAGCCCCTTTTCCTGAAGCAGGAAACGGGTGCCATGGGGTCTTCGCTGGTTCTGACACCTCAATAAAATGTCCCCTTCACACAGGCCCTACATCCTAAGTGTGCTAGGGCCGGCTGAGCATGACCCCATTGTTCCGAAGCCTGAGTCCTCGCAGGTTTCCGGTGGAAAAGGCAGCTTCCCACCCCAGATGTGGCCTCCAGTCCCCAGATCACAGCAGCCGGGGGCCTGATCCTATAGGTTGGCCGGCAGGGAAGGCAAGGCCCAGCCCTGTGTTACCTGTTTCTGAGCAGCAAGGCCAGCACAAGTACCCAGGATCCCAACTCTGGGGCCACCTCTGTCCCCCCACCGTCCCTCCACCCCATCTAGGCACTACTGAGCGAAGCTCCCATACCAAAAGTGGTCAGTCCTAGACATTAGCGGATGGGCCCCAAAGAGCATTGCCTAACTGGTCCATAAAGAGTGCAAGGCTGCTGACTTCAAACCATTGTTTATGGTCGCCTGGGTTTATCCTCATTTACAGTATCATTTCCTTACCCTCTCCGCAAAGGGCTTCACTACCGCCTGTGAAAGTAGGTCAGAGGTATGGATGTTTCCATTTTCTAGGTGAAGGAGTAGAAATCAGGTGACTCATTACAAAAGAAAATAAAAAAACCCAAGTGCTTAAGCTTTTTATGTATGATCTCTCTTTACACACACACACACAAGCACACTCATGTGCAGGCATGACCCAATGGAGCTGGTTCTATCAATTCCTGATTTGCAGATAAGGAAACTGAAGCTCAGAGAAAATATATCTCTGACTGGGCCCCTACATGTCACGGTAAAACCTTAGTGATGGCCTGCCTGACACAGCCGGTTGGCCTTCATGTTCAAGGCCCACTAGCTGAGCATTAGAAAGGAGACATCACTTGCCAAGACCAAGGCAGCAACGTGTGTGAGAAGCTATGCGCCAGATACTGTCCACTAGCACAGTTGCCCTCACATGCATTCCATGCAAGAGACACAATATAGTCAATAATATTGTAAAAACTATGCACGGGGCCAGCTGGGTCCTAGAAATATTGGGGGGGGACACTTTGTAAAGTATATGATTGTCTAACCACTATACACCTGAAACCAACACAAAATAATATTGAATATAAACAGTAATTGAAAAAAAAAAAGATGGGGTAAGCAAGTACTACAAATATACCTCAGTGTAAATGTTTCAAATAGATTTTAAAATGGAAAGAAAAGACATGCAATCATGCCTATTTCACCAACGGGGAAGGCCCTCGCCCATCCCCACTCGGGTTCTCAGGGCCAGGCCTGCACAGGCTAGGATGCTCCCACCCTCATCTCTCTCGGTCCCTCCTGCCTTCCAGTTCTTCACTCCAGGAGCCCACCTTGGACCCTTTTTTCTCTCCTGACAGCTGCACACTGGCCACTTCCATTTCTGAAGTCCCCAAGCTCCAGGACTCGGGCCTGTTGAAGGAGGCAAGGGCATGCAAATAACTGAACCTGAACCTGGCCGTGATGAAGCGAGGCTCGTACATCACCTGCACATGCAGGTGTCCAGGAACAAACCTTTTAGCTGACAGGGTCAAAGGCTTATTTTTTTTTTGTGCCAACAGTTCCCCTTAGAGGAAAGGTGTCCTATTACTTACCTGCTAAGGTGCTCTTGACGAAGCTCAAGTCCCACACCTACGAAGTGGAGGCAAAAAGCCTCCCTCAAAAGGATGCCAGAGACAGAAGTTGGCAAAGCAGACAAAGAAGCCAGTTTATAACAAGATAAGAACAGATGGAAGGATAACCCATCTCCTGGCGGCTGCCTGCCACCTCAGCAAAATGCTGGCCAGAGATAGCAAGAAGCAGAGGGGCCCGGGGCATCTGCCAACAGATCGCCAGCTCCCCTTGTGGATTGAAAGGATAACTAACCTCACTCCTCTGTGCTTGGCTTCAGCAGAAGCAGCCCTAGAACTAACCCTCTTGGGGGGAAATGGTCACTCCCCGCACCCACAAAGCCTGGCCCTGCACTGCCAGCCAACCACCCACCTCATGTAAGGATTCAATTTGTTTCAAACATCCCAGTCCCCAATCACCTACATGGTCTCCCTCTAATTGGATCCCAAGAAAGGCTGGGCCAATATATTTTCCATGCCATTTTCTCAAGTTCAGGCAGGTGGCTTAGACCAGGTCCCAGTTGGGAGAGGCACTGAGAAGGGTCTAGAGCAGCGGTTCTCAACCTGTGGGTCGCCAACCTGGGGGTCGCGACCCCTTTGGGGGTCGAATGACCCTTTCACAGGGGTCACCGAAGACCATCGGAAAACACATATATAATTACATATTGTTTTTGTGATTAATCACTATGCTTTAATTATGTTCAATTTGTAACAATGAAGATACAGCCTTCATATCAGATATTTACGATTCATAACAGTAGCAAAATTACAGTGATGAAGTAGCAACGAAAATAATTTTATGGTTGGGGGTCACCACAACATGAGGAACTGTATTAAAGGGTCGCGGCATTAGGAAGGTTGAGAACCACTGCCTAGCACAATTGGCAGACCAAGACTAGCAGGTTCAGGACCTATCAAACCAAGGCCTCCAGGCCAGCCCCACCTCCAAGGCCAGAGAGCACAGAGCAACCCCTGCTTGATCCCCATAACCAAGAAAAGGGATCCAGGAATAGCCCCCTCAACTCCTCCATCTCCCCTCAATGGGGCAGTGCCTCAGGGGGAGCAGCTTAGCAGAGCTAGTTCTGCGTGCCCTGTCCAGAAGGGGGGTGTGGGGGGGGTGGCGGGAGGGGGAGATAGTGGTGTTAGCAATCAGTGACAGTGGGTCTCACTCCTTCCCTAAGTCTATTTTATTTTACCACGTTGAACTCAGTATGCAAATTTATGCAAGATAAGATGCAAAGCAGTGCTTTGAACCAGAAGTCCCGTTGCTTTTGTCCCTTTTTTTGAAACTGCACTGAACCACTCACTGTAAATCTGTATTTGCCTCTGCCCCCTTTCTCCTCCCCCAGCAACTGCAGAAGCAGAGTCTGTGTGGTACCCCGACCCCCCCCCAGGCCTGCCTGCTCGCCTAGACCAGGACTGTGAATGGCTGCTCAGTTCTATAGCACCTTTATATGTAGCCACTTGGGCGGCTCTGCCCCTGGGCATAATCCCCAGCATTGTACAGAGTCGGGAAGGAGGCAGGGAGCTGCTGAGGGAGGCCTTGAATTCTGAAAGGACCTGGCCTGGCCCAAACCCTCTTCTCCAACGTTTCCAGGCACTTCTGCCCAGTCCACCACCAACCACCCCCCCACACCTTTAAGGTGCAGACTTCACACAGACCTCAGGGTCCCCCTCTCTCATCTTTCTTCCAGACCACCCACTCCAATACCCCAATCTGACTTCTGGTTTCTTTGAATCAACAAGTCCCACCTGACCGGTTTGGCTCAGTAGATAGAGCGTTGGCCTGCAGACTGAAGGGTCCTAGGTTCGATTCCAGTCAAGGGCATGTACCTTGGTTGCGGGCACATCCCCGGTGGGGAGTGTGCAGGAGGCAGCTGATCGATGTTTCTCTCTCCTCGATGTTTCTAACTCTCTATCCCTCTCCCTTCCTCTCTAAAAAATCGATATATTTTTAAAAAAAACAAGTCCCAGCCCATTACTCCCAGGGGATGCAGGCTCAGCACCCGCTGAAGTGCCTCTCCCCTCCCCCACCCCTTGCATCCCTCCCACTCCCAGGAAGCCAGCGACACAGCCCCTGAGCCCTGGGAACAAAGACAAAAGAGCTAAGAGTGAAGCCGGAACTGCTGGGGTTTGCTGCCTCAAACCGAGAGGGTATGTTTAAAATTCTCAAAAGCAACCTGCTCAAAGAGGAATGCAGGCTGGGGTGGGGGGAGGGGGAGGCTCACTCTTCAGATGGGGGAGGAGAAAGGATGGGGAGAGTAGGAGGCAGCAGCCTTCAATGTTCAGGTCTCTTCTGGGCCAAGCTCAGTCACCGGCCCCACCCAAGTCAGACCCCAGCGCTCTCTATGCAGTGCCCACTCCCTGCCCCAGCCCAAGACCCTCTTGAGCACAGAAGCCTCAAAACGTGCCCCTCTCTCCTCCTGACACCCTGCAGGCCCAGGCTTCTCCCCGCAGTGCCCTCATCACCCCCAGCCCTACTCAGGCCTCAGGCACCCTGCTCTTGTCACTTCTTCCCAATGTGCCCACTAGGCTTCTACCCCCACGTTGGCGTCTGTCCCCTCTTACCAGTCGGTAGCACATGCTGAGGAGGCAGCTGGGGCTAGTTGGGGGAAAGGAGTACCACATCCAGGACGAAAATCCAGAGGGGCATTCTTCCCATGAACTCACTCACCCCATTGTCCCCGGGCTCCTCCGACAACTCCCCCCTCCAGCTCCAGGCTCCAGGGAGGCCGGACAGGATAGTCTCTGCATCTGTTCCCTTCTGAAGACCCTAACCTGCTGCTGGAGGGTGTGGAGCAGGAGAGCTGGCTTTCAGGCTGAGAGTAAGAGGTATGAAGCGAAAGAAAAATAGTAAAACGCTTAGGAAGGACATGTGCCACGCACTTTATTAAAAACAGTCAAAATCCAAAAGATTCTATAAGCTTGAAGGCCTTTTGCAAAGCTGACCCTGCTGAGAAAGATGTTCAGTTTGTCCGAGTCAGGTCAGAAACCGCAGTCTCTCCCCATGGACCCCGAGGTGCGAGGGGGTGATGGGGGAGAAACGCAGGACTGAGGGATGGGCGCCCACAGTGAGAGGGGCTTCTCCAAGTCTCTTTCCTTTTAGTATTACTTTCTAAGAGAAGCAGGATGGAAGGGCTCACTCTGAGGCAGGCTGGGAGGGAAGTGAGCCAGAGGCAGAAGAAAGGGACCGAGGTGTTTCCCTTGGAGTCTGCGCGGAGGAAGCCCGCACTTGCTCTGCACTCAAGGTCAAAAAGCGCCAGAGAAATAGGAAAAGATTTCAACTCTGACCCCTAAGTCCATTCTCAAGGAGAACAGAGGGAAACAATAGTAGGCTAGAGGGGCAGTGGGGGGGGGGGGGGGAGAGGGGGTGTGTGAGTCTGGGTGGGGGGTGAGGAGCAGTTGTACAATGACCAGAAACTGAGAAGCAAGAATGTTTTCACTTTTTCTTTTTTTTTTCTTTTTTCAAGTTTCAGAAACTTGGTCAGACTCCCTTGCTTTTTAAACAACAGGCAGCGGACACACTTTACCACTGTCTCCAAGAGGAAAGAAAATAATTACAGCTTCCTCCAGACCACTGTGGCAGGAGGCTTTTGTAATGTTAAAAACATACAAAAAACAAATGAGGTCCTTATAGTTTGGTTGTGTCCCTCAAAAACATTTTGGGGGGATGAGGGCCCCTTACAAAGAATCTCAGGGTTCCCATTCTATCGGATAGGAAGTTTTGTCAAATTAGAATGAGGGGCGGTGGGGAGGGGGGGATGGATACACGTCCCTCTGGTTAGAGTAGCTGTGCCCACCGCTCAGGCACGCGCCTCCAGCTTCCAAGTAGGGTCCCAGGTGCTACACCCGGCAGCAGGGCTGCCCGGCCAGGACTGCACCTGGCGACCCGGCTTCAGTTACAGTGACTCAACTGCTGAGGTCTCTTCCTCGCCCCCCAGATGCCTGCCCCTCTTGTATTTTTCCATCCAACATCGCAGTAATAAGAGCCTTTTCGTTGTTTATGTGAGAAAACAGACGCATCCGGGGTTTTTTTACCTCTAAGAAACCCACTTTGCCAAGTACCAACAAGTCCTTTCTTCCCACCTCACACTTCCAGTAGCAGGAGTCCCTGCACGCGCACTGCCTTCTCCTTGCACCCCTCTTTCGCGGGAGGTCCCCTCTTTCACGTGAGGTCCCCTCTGTCACGGGCACCCGCCACCTCCACCCCCCAGCAGCGCCTTCCACCGGGACCCTTCCAAAACCCTCAGGCCCTACTCCTACGGATCTGACCAACCCCCTCCATCCCAGTAACCCCCGCCCCCCAAACAGAAGTCAGGGTACTTTCCACCCGGGGAAACCATTATAACAGGGGTGCCTTTCCTCCCCACAGATAACTAGCCAGGCTCCTCCCTGCGCTCCAACTCCAGTCCCCTCGCAGGCTTGACTTTCAGGTCCCCCTCCCAACAGTTCCCGAAGCTGGCCAGGGACCCCGCTCTACCTCCGCTAACATGGTCTCTGAGGTCCTTCCCTGCAGAGCAGCCACCAGCCCGGCCCCACGCTGCCCTCCTGGCTTCTCCCACCTAGTGCTCCTCCCCGCGTTACCTGCACCCTGCTCGGGGCCGTCGGAGTCGCGGCCCTTCTCGCAAGTGCCGGCGCCCCGGACCAGCGCCTGCAGGGGCAGCTCGGAGCCGGGGTGGGGATAGCAGCGCAGCCCCTGGGCGCAGCGCGGGGTGTAGACGCCGCATGTCTCGCCTTCCAGACGGGCGCACACGGAGCAGCAGCCGCAGCCCGGCTCGCGGACCAGCTCGGTGCAGGTACGCCCGGTCCCGGCCGACGGGGTCCTGCAGGCGGCCAGGCGCTCGGGCGAGCAGGGCGAGGCAGCGGAACAGCACCTCGGCGTGCGCGCCGGCGCCCAGCAGCAGCAGCAGCAGCGGCGGCAGGAGCAGGAGCAGCGGCAGCGCGGGGCCACCCAGTTTCGGCAGCATGTTGGCCACGGGGAGCGCGACGGGGCGAGAGGGCGGGCAGGTGGCGGGGCGTGAGCACAGGAACCGACTCTTGGGCTTCTGTCCGGGCGCTCAGCCGCGTCCTAAAGGGGCCCTGCTTCTCCCCGCCCCCTGCTTTCTCCCCTCCCCTTCTGGAGACCACCCCCTTTTCCCCGACGCTCCCGCGCGCGGGCCCATCCCCACTTCGTCCAGCTCTGTAGGTCGGCTCTGTCCCACCACATCCTTCCACCCTGGGCTCCGACTCCCGCAGAGTAAGAATCCCTTGGGGGCTTCAGTAGGATTGGCGCGGAAATGAAGAGTGGGCGCTTTTGTCTCCTTTTCGGTTCAGTTCGCGAGTTAATTTGCACGCTTCCCGTGTGGCCGGCACTGGGCTGCTGGGGAAATGCAAAGGACAAAAGGCATGGTCTTGACCTTCAAATAGATTTCACTCCCTCTATCCTGGGTTTTCACTGACCCGCTGATGTGTGCTTGGGACAGTGATTTTGGTGTTGAGTCGGGAGGAGGTTCGCATCCTCTAGATCAGCTTAGCCCCTAACAGTCCCCCTTAGTGACCATGGCAGTTCCCCAACCCTGTGAGCACCTAGTAAGATGTAAGTTCTGGACACAGAAACCTGCTCCCTTCCCCGCTGCCCACTCTGCACTCCCCTGGGGGGAAAAAAAAAGTGATCCCTTAGTCACCTGGGCCCCTACCCACAGATCTGGAGGCATTTGCTGAAGGAGAGATCCCAGAATGCCCTGCTTCATGGGTGTTGGGGAGGGTGTGAGAGAACACCCTGGAGTACGGTCATCTATAGCTCCCTCCAATAATGCAGATGGACGGAGCAGGGTGACCTCCCTTCAGTGTTCTGTTTGATTTACTGAGTCATCCGTCCAAGTTGTCTCCCACCCCCCAGCATTCCAGCTGGACCTGCCATCTCCCAGGGCTGTGACCCTAACAGAGATCCTTGTCTGACAGACTCTTTTGGTACGGGATGGACCATTAAGCTGCCCCCAGCCAGATTTAATTTCTCAGTACAGTCGTGCACCACAGGACGGTACTGTCAACAAGAGACTGCATGTACAAAGGTGGTTCCATAAGATTATGAAGGAGCTGAAACATGCTTATCGCTCAGTGAGGTCACAGCCATTGTAATGTCCTTGCCCAACACGTTACTCATGTGTTTGTCGTGATTCTGATATAAACAAACCTGTGCTGCCAATTGTACAAAAGTATAGTAGGTATAATTCTGCACAGTATATAATACTATATACTATTATTTTTAAATAGTTTTTATATATTTTTATTGATTTCAGAGAGGGAGAGAGAGATACAAACATCAATGTTGAGAGAGAATCGACCAGCTGCCTTCTGCACACCCCACACTAGGAATCAAGCCCGCAACACTGGCATGTGCCCTGACCAGGAATCAAATCGTGACCTCCGGGTTCATAGGTCGACACTCAAACACTGAGCCATGCTGGTGGGGCTGAGTATCTTGATTGCATTACTTTCTCTTGTGCTTGATTATATCTCGCGTTGCCATATACAGTGACATGCCGTACAGGTTTGTAGCCTGGAGTAATAGGTTAAGTGCACTCCATGATGCTCCCACAATGAAGAAATCACCTAATGACACATTCCTCAGAGCGCATCCCTGTTTTTAAGCAGTGAGTTACTGTACTTTTGTGCCACACTTCCCCCCACCGGAGCCCTCCACTCCAGCTCTTTCTAACTTTAGGACTCAGAGCCATTTGATACAACTCAACAGCTATTTACCAAGCGGCCATCTGGCCCTGATGATGAGGTAGGTGCTCAGCAAGGCAAGTTCCTGATCTTAAGAAACTAACCATGTTATGGGAGAGACTTTGGTAAGATAAACAAATCACTGGTTGTCAGAGGCTTTGCGGAGGAGAAATGTTTAGATGGAGATGTGATGGGGATTTCATGGGTACATCAGATTTGAAATTGAAGCTTGTAAGTCTACCAGGAGAAATGTAGGGATAGCAAGGGCACCCAGAGCAGGGAGATCGGCCAAAGCCAGGACATGGAAATGGGAAAGTGAGGTTGGAAAAAGGAAGCCGAATCCAGCTGACTTGTGTGGAGGTTTGGCTTCATTTGGTGGGCAGAGGGGTACAACTGTCCATGTGAGTAAAGGAGTGAAATAGACAGAGCTGGACTTCTGGAAATCACTAGAATGGTGTCCAGATCTGACAGCAGTAAAAAGTGCCAGGCAGCCCTAGCCGGTTTGGCTCAGTGGATAGAGCATCGGCCTGCGGACTGAAAGGTCCCAGGTTCAATTCCGGTCAAGGGCATGTACCTGGGTTGCGGGCACATCCCCAGTAGGAGGTGTGCAGGAGGCAGCTGATCGATGTTTCTCTCTCATCGATGTTTCTAACTCTCTATCCCTCTCCCTTCCTCTCTGTAAAAAATCAATAAAATATATATTTTAAAAAATATATATATAGTATATATATATTTTTTAAAATATATATATATAGTACATATATATTTTAAAAAAGAAATAGATGGAACCCATTTTAATAATATACTTTATTCAACCCAATATATGCAAATTATTATCATTTCAATGTGGAATCAATATTAAAAATTATTACTGAGAGATTTAACATTCCCCTTTTTAAAAATATACTAAATCCTCAAGCTCTGATGTGTATTTTGTGCTTACAACACATTTCAATTTGAACTAGCCAAAGTTCAAATTCTCAATGGCCACATGAGGAGAGACTACCATGTTGGATGGGGCATGGATCTAAAATATAGTGCCTGGCACCTAGTCCACACTCACTAAATGTGGTGAGTGATACCATCTCTAAAAATACTCCTGGCAGGGCTCTTCATTCTCAATCTCCATTGCAATGCCCAGCAGCTGGGGATGAAAGATTGCGATGGATGTATTGAGAGGACAGGAGAGGCACTTATTTGTTCATTTGGCTACTCACTTTCCTTTTGAGATTCTCCTTCCACCTCTGCAAAAATTTCTCAATCTCCTAGCCAAGAATAAACCCTGGAGGTGAGCAGGCAAAGTGATGCTAATTAGACCAATGCAAAGTTTCAATGAGCTTTCTCTTGCCAATGAGTCTGAAGACTACTCCCCAATTCTTTTCTCCTAGTTCTCTGATTAATAGTCACATATACACACCACCAACAACAACAACAGCCCCGTCTTTTTAAGTCTCTTTCTAACCGCCATGAGGTTCAGAGCTCTACTCCAGAAAGGCATCAATCACAGAACCTCCTTCATCAGCTGAAGCTTAGAGAAGCAGAGGGGCTTAGCCAAGGCCCCAAGCCAGGTTACACAGGCTGGCCTAGGACAGTGCCTGGAACCCAGAGGCTCTGTAAATACTTGTTGAGTGAACCAGGTCCTCCACTCCTAGTCCCTGCTTTGCCCACTGTTCCTGGAGCATCCCTTGCTCTGCATTCCTCATGAGTCCTCTGCAAGGGATATGTACTGGTAAGTCCTTAGGCCTGAGTCTGTGCTGTGCAGTGAGGACTTGTTGAGAGATGGGGACAGGCTGAAACTGGTTTTCTCCCCTCCCCCTAACCCCTGCCTTTTCCCATTTGAAAAGTATTTCACCAACTCCACCCTTTCAAGGTTTACTGTGACTAAGAACTACTTGTACTATTATTTACATACTATTTTTAATGTAAGCCAATTCACTTTTTTTCGTTTTTACTTAAAGCTATTTTAAAAATAAACTTTATATCACTACCATAAATGGAAATGCTGTATTAATGGCCATATATAGATAGCAACCACAAAAATAAACACAAGGAGACAGAAGTCATTCAGTTCGAGCTGGATACTGTTGTTTACTGAGGCCTCTGAGCCTGCGCACTCACTCTGCCTGGTTAACAAAAGATGAGCCAGTCTAAGGGACGCATTAGGCAGGCCAGAGCCCAGCTGAGATTTTTTTCCATTAAGCAATCAGAAGGAGGGGAATATTTTTCAAACCATCTTATTGAAATATAACATACGTGCAAAAAAGTACACATATCATAAACTTGATAAATATTCAAAACTGGCCATCCCACCTGAAAGAGAAGAGTAACGGTGCTCAGGAGCCCCCTTTTTACTTCCTTCTGGACATTACCTCCCTGCTCCATGGGCAGCCATATCCTGACTTCTACAGAACCAATGAGTTTTGCCTGTTTTTGCATTTCATATAAATGAACACACACAATATGTAGTCTTTTCCTCTCTGGTTCTTTTTTGCTCAGCATTATGCTTGTGAAATTTGGGTGTATTCTTGAATGTAGCTGTTGGGTACTTGTCGCTGTTGGGTAGTGTTCCAGGGTAGGACTCCACCACATACATGCATCTGTTCCACTGTTGATGGGCATTTGGATAGTTTCCAGTGTTGGAGTCTTGGGAACACAGCTGCTGTCCTCTTCGAGCATGTGTGCACATTTGTTGGGTCTATACCTAGATGAAGAAGTTCTGAGTCATGGGGTATGCATGTGTTCAGCTTTAGTAGATACAGTCAGAAAGTTTTACCCAGTAGATGTGTACATCTATACTCTTATCACAATATATGAGGTGCTGGGAGGGGGAAGTGTCCCCCTTCCCTCCTCTGGTTCTTTTGACTGGTTGAATAATTAAAATGAGGTAATTTACAGAAGAGCAGACGTTCAGTAATTAGATGTTTGCCCTGCCCTATAAATAGTTCATGAAAAGTTATTTCTGGTAATAACTCTTACCAAGGACAAGGTCCTTAATTTAAATTCTTCCAAGTAGTTAAAGAAGAGAGGACGGGCAGGAGTTTCTCTTCAGCCTGAAGGTTTAGCTCAAAATAATTCGTGTCACAGAGGCACATCTTGAGAAGACTAATTCTGAATTGCTACAGAGGATTTCACTTGCTCCCCATTCTTGCCAACACTTGGCATGTTCCATTCTTTTGCAATGCATCCATTCTGGTAGATATGTAGTTGTATCTTATTGTGGTGGGTTGTAGGCTTCATCCCCAGTGGAAGGCATACAGGAGGCAGCCGATCAACGATTCTCTTTTATCATTGATGTTTCTATCTCTCTCCCCCTTTCCCTTCCTCTCTGAAATCAATAAAAATATATTTCAAATGGAGAGGACAC